GTGGGAGGGTATTCTTGCATGCTTCCTAGTGTGCCCCATGGGCTCCCTAGGCTGCCAAAGACACCTGAACAGCCAAGCCACCCTTGATTGGTTGATGGGGACATCACAGGCACCAAGCTGAATCTGATTCATAGATGTTAGGATGAGAAGGGACCTCAGTAGGTCATTGAGTCTGACCCCCTGCCCTGGGCAGGAAAGAGCGCTGGGGTCAGACAACCCCAGCTAGGTGCTTGTCCAGTCTCCTCTTGAAGACCCCCAAGGTAGGGGAGAGCACCACCTCCCTTGGAAGCCCATTCCAGATTCTGGCAACCCTTACTGTGAAGAAGTTCTTTCTAATGTTCAACCTAAATCTGCTCTCTCTCAATTTGTGGCCATTGTTTCTATTTACTCCGGGGGGGGGGGTGCCCTAGTAAATAGAGCATCTCTTATTTCCTGCTGCCCTCCTCTGATGAATTTATAGGCAGCCACAAGATCACCTCTTAGCCTTTTCTAGCGAAGGATGAAGAGATCTAGGTCCCTCAGTTTATCCTCATAGGGCCTTGCTTGCAGGCCTCTGACCATATGAGTGGGCCTCCTCTGAACCCTCTCAAGATTCTCCACATCCTTCTTGAAGTGCGGTGCCCAAAACTGGATGCAGTACTCCAACTGTGGCATGACCACTGCCGCATAGAGGGGAAACATCACCTTCCTGGACCTGTTTGTCATGCATTTGTTAATGCATGATAAAGTGTGGTTAGCCTTGTTGATCACTTTGTCACAATGACAAGGAATGTTCATCTTGTAGTCAACTATGACTCCAAGATCCCTTTCGACTGCTGTGCTGCTGAGAAGGTCATCCCCCAGCCTGTAAGTGTGCTGGTGGGTTTGTTTTGCCCATGTGAAGCACTTTGCACTTGTCTTTGTTGAACTGCATCCTATTTCATTCTGCCCATTTTTCCAACCTGTCCAGATCCACCTGGATTCGTTCCCTACCCTCTGGTGTGTTAACTTTGCCCCATAATTTGGTATCATCTGCAAACTTGGACAAGGTGCTTGGACAGGGTGCTTTCCATGCCATCGTCCAAGTCATTGAGAGAGACATTGAATAGCACTGGTCCAAGGACTGAGCCTTGCGGGACTCCACTGCTCACATCTTTCCAGGTCGATATTGACCCATCCACCACCACTCTCTGGGTACAACCCCTAAGTCAATTTGCCACCCACCTGGCTGTAATCATCTACATCACAGCCTGTCAGTTTATTCATGAGACCAGAATGAGATACTGTATCAAAGGCCTTCTTAAAGTCTAGGTAGATGACATGACATCTACCTCAACTCCTGCATCTAAACATTTTGTGAACTGGTCATAAAAGGAAACAAGGTTAGTCAGGCAGTATCTACCCACAATGCATCCATGCTGATTTCCTTTCAGCAATATTTCCCCTGCTAGGCTCCCAGAAATGTGATCCTTAATAATTTTTTTCCAGAGTTTTCCCAAGGATAGAAGTGAGACTAACTAACCTATAGTTTCCTGGTTCCTCCTTCCTCCCCTTCTTGAAAATATGGACCACACTGGCCCTTTTCCAGTCCTGTGGGACTCGACTGGAGCACAGTGAGTACTTGAACAGCCATGCCAGTGGCTCTGCTATGACATGGCCAATTCCTTCAGCACCCTTGGACGAAGCTCATTCAGACCCAGTGATTTGAACACACCCAGCCCCTCCAAGTTCCCCTTCACTAAGACTGTGCTAACAGTTGGTGGGCTGGTGTCCCTCCTGTGTCTGTCTGTGATCCAAGTGGGAGATTTGCTCATGTGGCAGCAGCTTGTCATGGTCACAAGCTGTCAGCCAGCTGTCCTGCATGTCCACCCGGCAGACTCTGTGCCCATCAAGTGCGTTTTTGTCAGACACCTGCATACTCTGTGTGTCTTGGCTGCCTGGGGAATATGTATGTTCCTGGATGTCTGGGGGGGTGTGTATGTGTGGCATGCACATGCCACACAGCACAGGCATCTGGAGCATAACTAGGCCACAGACTTTCACACAGCCAATGAGGACAATGACCACCTCTTGTACAACTGTCCATTTCCTGAGGCAATGGACAAGGGGGCGCTGAGCTCCCAGGGTCCCCAATTTCATCATTGGTGACATCACCCCAATTCTGCTGCACTTCAAATCAAGGGAAAATTGCCCTAATTTCAGATTTGTGTTACTACACTTCAACAATTTGCATGTGACTGAAGGACAGTGTGATAAACTTAAAAACCCCCCTCCCCCAGAGTTCACTTCACTATCTATAGGGTGATTTCAGAAAACACACAATGGGAGAGTAATTGCTCTGAGTGCAATGCCTTTTAAAAGCTTTGAACAATTTCTTCATAAAGTGCATATTGTCCCTGGCCCATGCGGATTGTGGCTCCACTGCCTGTCCTGCAAACACATAATGCCTCTGATTAGCTGGTGATGTTGGGACACCAGCTAATTAAGCAATGAAAAAAGAACTGATGGAATACCGACACAGTATAAAGTATCTGGTGATCCTAAGTCATCCTTTCTGAGGCATGAGCCAGCAAATGGGAAAAACTGATTGCCTATACTTGCTAGAGTTTCAGGAGAGTGACCCTGTTTGTTTGGTGGCTTGCAAAATTCTATACCTATATTGGGTTCACAAGGCAAAATCAAATCACTGTTTCTTTTGCAGGCAGCAGATTGGGAAGGTGTAGAAAGTGTTTCCTTTCCTTCCATTGAAGAATGACAGGTGTTTCCTAAGGGGAACATCATAGACACTGTGTCCCAGAAGGGGGGGTGTGTGTGTGTGTGTGTGTGTGTGTGTGTGTGTGTGTGTGTGTGTGTTTAAGGGGGTTGCTCTAAGAAGGGAGCACTACATTAAAGCTAGCAAGACCACTGGAAATTACTTTTCATATAGCCAGGTAGAGTAACAGCTGTAAAATGGTACCTAATAAAATGAACAGTGTGAGAGCTTGAGGTAAAAAAAAGGAGTTCCCAAAGCTACCTACTCTACATATATATCTATAGGATTCCCAGCAGCATACCTTAAACTCTGTAATAGATGGTCTGAACCAGCTTTCTATCATGTGCACGTTGTTCCCATTAATTGAATGACCAGAATTATAAATTGGCTTTAAGACATGAGAACACAGAAACACTCTCTGCTTCTTTATGGGCTGTTGTATACATTCAAGTTTTCTGGGACTTCGTGTCTGTGAGCTGGACTCATGGGTTACTTATACACATACCAGACTATATTCAGCAGCCTCCACACCTTGTGTATTCCACGTCCCCACACTTTAGAATGGCAACAGAGGCACTTTAACCAAAGCCTGTCAAACAAACTTTAGTTAAAGCGTGCCCCCCTCCCCCCCATTTTGACATGCGGGACGCTGCATACACATGACACTGTGGGCGTTCTACTTAAACCTCCTGATCCCTGCTCCTCTTGCATCCTGGAACACGTATAAAGATGCCTTGGGTTTCTGGTCCTGCATTCCGTATTGAGCACAAGCAGTGTAAGTGCTTCTTGCAATCTACATTTTACACATGCTTTCAGTTTCCCCAAACACATTGGAAATTAATGATGCTACATATTAGTATGCATAGATGTGCTGATGTACATTTTGGGTGCAGATTCATAGGTGCTAGGGTCAGAAGGGACCTCAACAGATCATTGAGGTCCCTTGTGCAAGAACATTTTTTACTTCCATTAAGGAACTTGCCCATTGCCGAAAATCAGTGCAGATGAGTCAATTCTTAAGACAGGTTAATTGTGAGCAGGGACAAAATAGCAGCAGACCTACATTCAACACTTGCTCACCTGTATTCATGACTATGCAATCAGAGAAATTCAGCAATAAGCTAAAGTTTTCTTTGTGTCAATGGGTCTAGGCCAGGGGTGGGGAAAATATCCATCCCCACATATCCCCACCCTCCCACTTACACCCCTCCCACAATATACAAGAGTAAGACTTCATTTTAAGCTATTATACTATCACCTCAATGTACACTACACAAGCACATGTAAATTAGGACAAAAAAATGTTTTGAAATGAAATTAATGTTGTAGTACGTTTGATTTTTTTTAGCATATAATTTAGTATTTTTCTGGTTCAGACATGGAAAAACCCTTTCTGAAAGGAGTAATTCTGGGGGGCAAGGGGAGGGACTTCCAGTGGCAAAGGTCAGGGGTTAGGGGGTGGGGCTTCTGGTCCCAAGATGGTGACCAGGAGGAATGGCACATGTCAAGGGGTGGGGTAGACCACTGCCTGAAATAATTGCCTGCCTCTGATCTAGGCTACCTAGAGGGAGGATCCAATAGGCTTGGGGACAGAGGCTTTGCTGGCTCTTGTCACTGACAGCCCGGGGGCAGAGCTGGCCCAGTGCTCAGGCAGAGGAGTTGAGTTCTGGCTGAGGCTAGATTACGACTCTGGGTGTGGAGAGGAGGGGTAAACAGGGGATTGGCAAAGCCCCATGGGTTGCTGGTGGAATGCAACTTACTGTGAGTCTCCGTGAGATTTGGCACAGATGTTCGTTGCAGCACTCTAAGCTGCAGTGCTGAAGTCTGATACCATGGCCCTCCTGGGCTATCTTAGAGTGGCATCTGCCATTTTTTACAGGGCTCTATGTGCCCTGACTGTCTGTTCAGTTACAGTTGTAGAGCACTTTCTGCATGCTTATCATACAATAAGTGTAACTTCTGTATCTGCTCTAATTCATTATCTTGCAATGTGTAGCATAGACCCAAGAAATGGCTAGAGAATAAGATGGCTGTGGAAATATGTCAGTTATTTCTTCTTAAATCTGAATACCACATTTGGCTGTTCTCTTTTTCTGATCTGAATTTACCACCCTAGTGTAAAATATTCATGAGTCAGGTTTATACTCTCACATTGTCATTAGTGCATTGCAGGTTAGGGTTAAGTGGTATTCACATTTCCAGACTGACATACTTTGTACTCTCTAGTTCATTCCACCTTCCCTATTATCTGACTTGTTTATCTTTTCAGCAGTTGCAGGGACAGTGGGATTGATTTGGTGACTTGTGTGAAAGAAGCAAAGCACATAGTTATCACTGAGCAGTAAGTACCATTTTCTTTATTTTCTTAGCCAACCAGCAATAAATCTTGCTTCTAGTTTTTGAAGTGAGTAGAAATGAACAGGGCAAGCAGAGAGGTTGATACACAACTTTGGTTATGTTCTGCTATAGTACTGGAAGTACTCCTGTCATTTCAGTCACCTTGCTACATACATGCATATGCAATCTAAACTGCTTCTAAACTGAAGTACTCCAAAAAATGTCAAGAGATCAGTTTGGTGGTAATCAGGGATCTGGATGTAAGCACTGTAGAGAAACATACATTAATTACATTATTGAAGTGTCTCAAAATTGGAGAGTACATTAACTTACTGTTAAATTGATTCAGATATGACGAAGCTTTAAATACATAATATCCAAGCCTCTAAAATTAGAGGGACCAGTGCATGAAAAATGCCGTTCTGTTTTATTTTATAAGGGGTTTTCAACCTTTTTTGAGCAGTGTCCACCTGACAGCTGACTAGTGGGGCGGGTGGAGGGGTAGCAGCAGCTGGTCGCAGCACAGTGGGGGGTAGGCTGGTGGCGGCCGCACACAGAGCGGTGTCATGGGGTGGTGGATGGCGGTGGTAGCTGCTGCATGCTGGCTTCTCCCTCCATGTCTGGCTGGCCGGGTGGCACCTGTTTGGCCCACAGACAGGCGCTGCTACCCTCGCCCTGCCCCAGCCCTGATCCTGTGAGGCAGCGGCATGGGGTGGTGGTGCTGTGTCCCTGCCTGCTCAGGCATGCCTTGTGGGTCCTTTCAAAGTACCCTTGGGGATGTACCCCCAGTTGACAACCCGTTGTAAATTACTGTCAATATTGTTTGTAGCCTGCTTTACTGTTAATTTGTTAAACTTTGCTAGAATCATGTCAGGTTAAAATTGCCATTTCAAATTGTAAGTGGTAAATGGTTTATATTTAATCCCTAAAATACCTCTGCATTGGAATACAACATGTAATATTTAAAGCAATAGGGCCCGGTGGACTATATTTGTTATGAAGACTAATGGACTGTACTTGGACACACAAACATTTAGAATTGTTTGCTGTTTTATGATGTACATCAACTGCTCTTTGAAAAAAAATTAGAGATTTTTGTGGTAATTCCTTGTCTCCTAATTGTCAAAATTTATAAACCTCCCTCCCCCACAGTTATAGGCTCAGTTTAATGGTGACATTCATGAATTTCTGCCTGAGTTGCTAATGCATTAAAATTTAGCATGGTTTTGTAGTCTTCATGATGCAGTTTCAAATAATGAAGGGCTAGATTGTTCATTTCACTTATCCAGAATGTCAGGGATGTTGGAAGAGAGTAAGGTCTGTATAGGCACTGCCTATCATGTAAAAAATAATTGCAGCTTCTGTGCTTGTGAAAGCACATTTTTTGTTCCATATGCTTCTTCGGAGCAACTCAGCAGACAGCTTGGGAAGGTGGCACAGAAATTCCAGCACCAGTTTCCACCCTCCCATACTACAGGAGGGTATAGTACTCCTTTTAAAAGTGTGTGGTAAATTGCTCTACATTGCCATGTACATCTCTGAAGAAGCAATGTCTCCAGTCCTCCACATTCCACTTCAGTAATTATATACCTCCACATCATGTCTAATTATGGGTTCTGTGCTAAATACCCCAAATAACACTCAGTAAAACATTGATGCTGATGTAACACTGTAATGGAAATGTAAGAAGATAAAGTAAGAGTGGTGACATCTAGTGAATTGATAGGAAATGCAGGATGATAGGGAAAAAATAACATTTTCTTCAGTAAATGGGGAAATCATCCAAATATTAGCAAGATAATGTGGTTACCCATTTCCTACAAGTAACAAAATTAGGGTTGGCTATTTGACTGGTCAAGTAAAATTCAGGAAAATGCCTGGTCAAGTATCGGTCAAGTTTTTTTTTTTTTTTTTTTTTAATTTGCTGGTAGGTCCAAATAATGCACAGAAAAAGCATATTTTTTCTTTAAGAAATGTCATAAAACAATAAAAAATAATATTTCTGTCAAGAAAAAAAAAATGTAGTTTTTTGGGTAATATTGCTATAATCTTTGATCGCTCGAAAATAAGCAGTCAATTGATGATAATTGACTGCTTGCCAAACCTAAACAAAATTAATATTTGAAATAAAAATTATCTGCAAACCAACTGCCATGGGAGAGGGGAGTGTGTTGCTGCATTATCTCATTAGAAATGAGTAGCCATGTTTGTGGCAGAGAACAACCATAAACTTATGAGAACAAGTGAAAAAGACAAACAACCCCCCCAACCTTTTTATTAACCTGGGGGAAAGGTAGACCAAGAAGATATGACCTGCTGCTATTTGTTTAGAAGAACTTTGAGGGAAAACAGATGACTTATAGACTTGCTAGTAAGAGAGAGGATTTAAAAAGAAACAGAAAAGCACAGACTCGGCATAATCAGTGGAAACCTAAAATGACTGCCACCTGATGATTTTTCCTCAACTTGTATGTAATGAGCAGCATAAAGGTGTGCACAAAAAAAAAGATTAACACAGTTGATCCTTGTTGTCTCCTTGGTCACCATTTTAGCAGAGAAGCCAAGGCTTTGTGCAGGCCTGAGAAATTAATTTCACTGTAACTCCAAGAAAAGTGTCCTCCTAGGCTATCTTCACGATGCTTTTAAGGATCCAGGATCCAGGATCTTTCTTAAGTCTGTGTGGAAAAACTGGGAAGAAACATGAACATTGGTGTAGCGATCTATATATTTGCACAGAGTTGGGGGGGAGGGGGTGTTGATGTCACTAATATGCTTCCACTATTTTGTTTTTCATTTTAGGAAATATTTGGTGAGTAGGTGCAAGCTATGGCCATTATGTATTTGTTGTTTTCTAATTGTCATTCATTCATTTTGTTCATTTCTCATTTTGTTTATTTCAAACAATCGTATCAATCTGTATCAAAGGCACCGATATGTAATATGAAGTGTGTGATTATTTTGGGTGTTGGGTAGCCACCGGGTATGGGCATGTACACTTACATCTAACTGACATTCACCTGTCTTCTCCAGGGTGCCACAACCCTCAGTCAGTCTAGGTGGGGCGCGTTCTCTGTCTCTCCGTCTCCTCCTGCCATGACTTAGATGTTTTAATTTTTTGGAGATGTTAATGAAAAGGAGGTGTGGTGACCACACTGCCTCCACCATGACTGATTGTTGGTTCCTGCCCCGAGCTCCGAGTCAACAAAAACGGGGGGGGGGGGGGGGGGCGGGCGCAAAGGGGGGGGCATGGCAAAATGACCAGATGGAAAAGTTTCTTTCCTTTTTTTCTCTCTCTCTCTCTTTTTATTTTTTATTGTTATGATGCCCATTGAATTTCTTCTCCAGGGGTTGAGTCCTGGACCCCCCTTGGTTTCATTCATTGCTTCTCCGGCATCAATTCTCCATGCCTGCTGGCGAACGGGGAGTCCCCTCTTCTTTTTTTTTCTCCGGGCTCATTGTGGCCATGCATGGCTTAATTGATGACCCATAGCTGTTAGTAAGTCAATATAAACAAACAAAAAGAAACGGTAGGACTTGGGAGAATGTTGCCTTCTCCCCCCTCTCTCCCTACGAGATTGCAGTTTCCTACCTCCTCGACGCCTGAGCCATGACGCCCCCTGGGGAACGAGGTTTCGTTGGGTTTTTTTTTTTATAGTCCCTTTCTCCTTTCTCTTTCCTCTTCTTATCGCAGCTACACCTGGCTTAATTGGCAACCTATGGCGATTAATTGGTACTTCCAAAACAAACGGATAAGTGGCTTGGGAGCATCTGCCCCTTCTATCTCACTCTTTTTTCTCTCCCTTTGCTTTGCTTCTTATTCTCCTTCCTTTCTCCTTCACCCTTTTAGCAAGGGCTCCTCCAACCCTCCGAGACCCGAGCAGGCTCTTACCCTGCTCCTGGGGCATCAGTCTCGGGTTAAGCATTACCAGCCTCCATCCTGACCGCAGTCTTCCGTTTTCACTTTCCCCAGCCCCACAGTTCTGCTCGCGGCCCCCAGATATTGCCCCGGCCATGGATTTGCGCCAATCCACCTCACCTGCAGAGGTAATAAATCTGGGCTGGGGTGAACTGGGAGCTCCTGCCATAGCATGGAGGTTCTATTCTGGTTGGGTCCATGCCCCTGGCTGAGGGAACACCCTGGGTGAGTATCCTTCAGTCCCTTACACTAGGGCATAGGTAATACTATCTATAGGATATCTGTTTAACACATCATACCCATGGTGAAAGTCAAGTGAATTTATGGCATCTTGAAAATGTTTGAGTTACGATATGGGCAGTATTTCGGGGAACAGAAATATCTTTCAGCCTTATTCAAGTGTGCTTATGTATTGCAGTTAACAACCTAACATTCCTCAAAGTTAGCGGGTTCTAAAATTAGCTGTTGGGAGCAGTGGCATGTTGAGGCTTAATACCCTCTGTAATGTACACAGCTCTGAGTTGCTGCCAGAGGACTGGCAACTGAAAGCGGGGGTATGGCTAGAAACTTGGAAGTCTGCTCTGTGTCTACCCCACCAGCACAACCCCACTTTGCCTCCCAACATAGCACAGTATACACATCCCCAGTACACACGCTGCCAGCATATCACAGGATAGTGTGTGTGTGTGCATATACACGCATATGCACACATTTACACACACACACGCACATGCACACGCACACTCCCCCTCCCCAGACTTACCTTTGACTGCCACAGAGCTGCACAGATAAGGCATGGGGGCATTAGTGAGGGAGAGGCCATCCTGACTGTTCAGAGTCTGGGAGCACAGAGGGAGCACCCCTGGCACTACAGGGCATCAGCCACAGGCACACCATATGTATGCATGCATTTGTGCATGCACATGTGCACCCCCCCAAATACACATACACAGCTGGTTCATACCGTGTGTTACAGAGTTTGAGGTACGCTGTTAGGAGTCCGACAGATATACATGCAGGGTAGCTAGTTTTGGGAACTCTTTTTTCTCAAGCTCTCACACTTTTCATTTTATTAGTTACCATTTTAC